CTCAAATCATAATGAAAACTTTGGATTGTTTTTGAAGCAATATATTAAGAAGATGGTAATACAAAAAAAAGAAAAAAATTTACAAGCCATTTCTCAATTTATTTAGAAAGGAGTAAAATAATTTTGATAATAGCATAATTATCAATAGCGAGATAAAGCATGCAAAATCAAATTGAAGCATGTGTTGATGCAAATAGAGGTCAAATCAAATATTTATCAAATAATAAACTATATGTATTTTTGACTCTTCTTCTCGAAAATAAAAAAAGATTTCATAGCTTCATTATAAATTTATGTGCTATATTAAAAAAAACTGACCGCCATTACTTTTACCGGAGTCTGTAATTTATATCATATACATAATATTATATGGTATGTGGTTAAAAAATCAAAATTCTGGTAGAATTAGGCTAATTCTGGCCAATTTTTTTATGCTATATAATTTCTATACTACATTAATTCATTACGAAAACTTACCATTCGGAACTTTGGAGTATCGGAACCCACAAAAAAAGAGTAAAGTGCGTCATGAACGTTCCTTTAAAGAAATCTTCGTAACAAAAAATTCGCTATAAGAAAAATTATTGTATAGAAGTTTGGATTTTTGATCTATCGGGTTATTGAATTCCGGTTTGAACTTGGTCACATTGGAATGAGCCGCATCACAACTGAGTTATAACTAGTTATAACTCTTTACTCTAAGGCATAACTGGGGAATGCGCCGTAACTGGTATATGCGGCACCGTAACTTGTGTATATGTAACATTTATTAAATTTTACCATGACGTCTTTTCTTAGGTTGGCCTAGCACTTTGCTCATCATTGTTGTACAGTTTCAATTACTTTAAGTTCTTATTGATGAATTTATAATCAAAGAAGCTAATAACAAATTTACGTTAAGTTACTATGCTATTAAACTATTTTATGCTATTAGACTATTTAAACTATTATACTCTACGGCATCGGCCACAGTAAAAGTTACGGCATTAATAGCATTAACAGCACATTGGGGATCCACAAGGTTTTGCGTAACGGCCAATTCATTAGGACAGTGCATCACGAGATTATGAATTTCGGGATTTCGTATCAGACCCTTTAAAAGTATCGGCACTATCGTTATACTAAAAATTGGTAACGTTACGCTGTCAATTGGTAATAACAGGTAAATACACAAACACTATAATAGCGAAAGCTTATTTAAAAATAATACCATATAAATAAAAGCTCAAGGAGAAAGAATACACTAAAAAAAATTGAATATTATTGTAAAAAGGGAGTTTACATTGACCACGCGTCAAATGTGGTATTATTTTGCGTTTTTTGCAAGATTGGTTAACACTAAAATTATTAAAACTTCATAAAATTTAAATGCACATTTGTTATGGACTTATGGTAAAAAGATGGTGGGCAAATTAATCTTGAATCATTTGTTTCAAAATTTTAAAATGAATAAAAATAAAAAAAAAATAAATATTGTATTTTATCAAATAATTATTTATAAAAAAAAAATAAAACCCAACATTAACCTAAAAGTTTGCTAGTTTCTGCCATTTCTTTTCACATTCATTACAAGACGTGCTTCACGATGTTCAGTAGTCTCTATCTTTTTATTATTCCCCTTTCGTCGTCTGGGATTAGTAATTTGGTTCATTTTAAAGTGAGAGCTGGCTTTATAGTTGATATTAATTTATCTGAATGTATTAAATTATACATCAAATCGAACTTTGCTTAATTATGTACGTAATCAAGTGATTCATTTATTTTTGGTATAAAAAATAAGTACCGTATAGCACTGACTAAAATACCCAGGATATAAATCAATTTACCTTATTTAAAAAATTGAATTACAGTATACCCGGAAAGTTAATTCCTCACTTTAGACAGTAAAAGTTGATGTTTTTGGAAACAAGAACGAAAACAAAAGTGTAAGAACGTAGGAATTTTTTCTGAAACAGATGGGCTTAAATTACACCATATAAACAATAACATACAAAAGCTGTTAATATACCTACCTAATGCTTATCAAAGTGAGACAATCAGCAGCAAACTACATATTTTATATTCTTTTGCATATTTAAATGAATGAAATATGTGAAATTGTAAATATTTTAACATTGTGATCGGTCAGGATATTAAATTTCGGGATTTTGCAGGAGATGGTATTTTTTACTAATCGGAATTTCGGGATTTTGATAATCGAGATTATTTAATAGTTTTTTTAATATATTAAAAATCATGAAATAAGAGTACTGTATTTCTAATATAAACTAATTAAAATACAATATGAATATGCAATATGCATCATACAATTGTTAAACGTAAATAAAATATATTTTTAATATTTTTAATATAAATTCAAGGAACATCAGCCACAAGTCTCATGCAAACGACAAGATTTGCCAATTTTATAAAAGTTATAAGCGGAACTTGATCAGCTAAAAATAAAAATATTATGCAAATGTTTGAATCTCGAAATTTTACTTACAATCGCAGATAATTTTTAAAACCCTCAATATAAATATATCTTACCATTCAAATAAGCCGCCATGTTCTGCGTTACGCTTCGCACGTTGCGACGACTCAATAACATAATTTGTTGGATTTACGCAGCTGCTCCATTCTCAAAATGAAAGGCCTGGTATAATAATTGGCGTTTGACTTTACTTTTCTTCTTCCGAAACACAGAAAAACCAAAAGATGACTGGTGGCTTCATAGCGAATATGGCTACTGCCTACTATGTCCCGAATGGAATTGTAACTTGAGACGATAAATCTGAAGTAACAATATCCTATATTATAGTTCGTGATCCTGTAACTTAAGTAACTTAAGTTGACTTACTGACTTATTTTTTTTGCAATAATTCTATTTATAGGCTGTAAAAAAAATATAATACATAATATATTGCATATTAGTACAATAAATACAGGCGTTTATAAAAACAATTATCAGTTATCTCAGTTATCTTACAGAAATTAATAATTTATTATTATCCAATAATAAATAATTATTTATTTACAGCTGTTTTCATAAGTTACGGGGTACTCGACATTTTTGTCGAAAGTAACTCATAAAATTCGATAGAGGAGATTTAACGATATCTTGCCGAATGGCCATTTAGTTTTGTGTAATAAACCAAACATTTGTTAAACGTAAAAATATACAAATCGTGTCTCATGCAAACAAGCGGACTTGATATTATGCGCGTGTTTAGATCATTTTGTTTCAAAATTTTTACTTACAATCTCAGCTTTATGCATGATCAATAGTCGAAAAAAAATTTTTTTACACAATTTTTATACTCTAACTATAGCAAACTCCGTTGGAAAAAAAAAATCTTGATTTAATATGGCAATTTTTTAATACTCTGACTATAGCAAACTCCGTTAGAAAAAAATCTTGATTTAATATGGCCCAATTTTTTAATATTCTGACTTATAGCAAACTTCGTTGGAAAAAAAAAATCTTGATTATCTTGATTTAATATTATACTCTGACTATAGTAAACTCCGTGGGAAAAATCTTGATTTAATATGACAATTTCTAACTGTAAATAAAAAATAAAAAATTTATATAAAATGCATCTCTAACCTCTACATCCAAAAATTTTTTTAAAAAAAAATTCCTTCCTTTCTTTCCCTCTCTTGTTCCATTCCTTTTCTTCCCCCTCATTATTATCATTTTATCTTTATCTTTTTTATTTATTTCTACTTCTTATCCCTTTTTAAATTATTTTATATTTATTTCCACCAGGACCAGGTGTTCCCGGCAGTTCATTTAAAATAGTCAATACTTTTTTTTTTTGCTTCTTTCAGCTTATCTAAACTATTTATTTCCGAAAGATCAAAATATTTTTCTCAACTATTTTCATCTACTTTTAGCAACTTTTCTTTGGCGCGGTATAGTATAAGCCTTTGCTCTAAGTAAACTCATTCTTAGTATGATTTACAGACGGAAGTAAAAAGAGGTAAGAGACCTGTTCCTTACTGATAACACATGCGTCATCTCAGGATACCGAATCATTATAATTTAATGGTTAAATTATAATGAGGGTACCGCGAAATCTTCTCTTACATGGCAGGACCATGATAAGGATCCTCATACGCATACTTTATTGGAGGTTGGAGGAAAGTATGTTAAGTGGGGTGGTTAGTATCTGATTGGCGGTCCCTAATAAGGGTGACGTAAAATTCCTTAATTCCTATTCGTTTTCTTGATAGATCTATTTATAAATTTCCTTTTGCTAATTAATCGTTACAGTGACCCGTGTTACTTATACATCGGTACTCTTTGATTTTATAGGTAATTTTTCTGATAATCGGTAGATCCCAAGTCAATTTGAGTCAATATGATAAATCAATAATTTCAGTTTATTAATTTTATCTATTGCTTCTTGTTAAGAAATGCAGTATTGAGAAATATATTTGGAGAATTTTGGAAAGCATTCAGTAAAATTATACTTCAGATAATTTTTTAAGTTGATGCTGCTCTTTTTTATAAATAATTAGATAAAAATGTAATATCATTTTTTTTTAGAATTTTGATACAGATGAATCGAAAATTATTTGATAATTTAATGCTTAATTTAATGATTACTTAAACTTTATTTCTTTTTATTCCTGAGAATAATCATTTATATTTAATATATTAAAATCATAAGGATATGAAGAAGATAAAGTATTTCTAAAATAAAATACAGTATAATTATGAAGTAACTTAACTTATAGAAGATTTAAGAAATAAGAAAATCCAAGGATTATCTTTTATACTTGATGAATAGATCATATATTCGTTTGGCAGATCTCCTTTTGCATATAATATTAACGTATTTTTATAATAAAGTCAAATAATTTAACTTGAAAAGAAGTCAATTTAATTGATTTACCTTTTCCAATTATAATAAAAATTGATTAAACACATAAATGGTTTTATATAGTAGGTGTGTAGGGAGCAGGGACTTATATTATTTATGTTATATTTGTCATTTAGTAACAAACATTAATCCGCATTGGTCTAGTGGTTAGGATATCCCGTTCTCATCGGGAAGGCCGGGGTTCGATTCCCCGATGTGGATGATTTAGATTTATGACTACACTGTAGTATATATATACTTTTATAAAATCTTAACATTTATCAGTATTCAAATTTTTATGAATCGATTTCTTTGTGGATTATTATACGGGTGATCAGTTTTTCATTTATAAGCGGGCTGGGTATTGGCAATATATTATTTTTCATTCGGATAAGATTGTTTGCGAAAAAAGATTTATCAACCAAGGTTTATAACTAATGAGCATTTAAATGAGGAATTATCACTATTCGCTACATCTATTGAATTTATAAAAAAAAAAAAATATTCTATGCATATATATATATACCAAGAACTGCAATATTGACACGGGCCTAAATAATTGATTTTTGTTATTTAGTAAGAAATTTAACAAGATGAAATTTACAATGAATCAAAAAAAATACAAAATGGTTACTAGTAATAAAAATAGAAAAAGCTTTTATGACATTTTAATAATATTTGCGCAGAATCGCCAATTCAATAAGATGTCACAAATTCATAATAGGAAAAGTTATTGATTTCCACGTGGTAAGGTATATCAATTAATTTGATTATTAATTGATCATAACTAGATGTATCAGGGTTTAACAATTTATATGAATATATCATAATTATGAGGGAAAATAACTGACATTTACTCTGAGAGGGATAAAAATATTTTTATGGAATTAAATTGAAATCCCAAATGTTTTTCATCCAAAAGATAAATAAATAAATAAAATGAGTGACAAGATCTAGAATCAAACTAGCCAAAAATAAAGAGATGCTTAAATATAATAATCTTTTAGGAAAAAGAAAAGAAATAGATAAGAAGTGAAACACTACAATATGGAAGAACCTAACTAGAGCTATGGCCTCAAACGCCAGTCGGCAAACTCAAGGAATGCTATGGTCGGAGGTCAAGGGTATATGTTACGGCTTATTACGTCTACAATCACGTATAGTCTAACCATCTTCATTATAACTGGTGACCAGATGTAGAAACCTAGACACCAAAAATTATGGGCGTTTTTACTAATAAAATTGCAAATGCACGATTCATTATAAAAGTTTACGGCTAACAGTTTTAGGTTAGCAATTTCATTATAAAGAACTGCAAAGATAAATACGGATTTATATATTAAAAAAAATCAAAGGTTATACAGGCTAAAATTAAGTAATTATCTAACAAATTCGAGTTCATAACTAATCTATAAATCCATTTTTGGAGTTTCAATAGAAGTTATTTGCTTATCTTCAAAAAATAATAATCCAGAGATTTCCGAACTGGATAATCTGCCTTAAATCGATCCGAACCCGTGACAATAACTTGGACGATATTTTTAGATAACTTAAATATTTAATACATGATAATAGGAGTTTATTATACTTCAAAAACAAATACAAGAAAAGTATTATAATATTATAGTAATATCCTCTCATCTAAATAGAATAAATATTTTCATATAACTTTCACCAGAAAAATATAATATGCAAATAACGCTTAAAAAAAATTTAATGATCAAAGAGATTATTTTTTAATTTAATTTGATATTTATTAAATCTTATCGAATTGATATTCTTGCTTCTCTTATATTGGCATTTTTCATGAACAACACCCCAATTTTCATCCATCACTCTCAATTGTTCTTGTAATAATGATTGACTCATGAAATCGATGCTCATTAGAGTGAAATTTTTCAATTCATTACATGAAATTAATAAAGTTTTCAAGAAGCTTAAATCTTTTGTTATATTGATAATTGTAGATAATGAATTAAGTTTTGGACACGATTTTGCAATAGATTTTAACAATAATTGAGTGTGGTTATAATGGTTTTGATTAGGATTCTTTATATAAAAACATTGTAAATGACCTTTTGTTTTTCCTATAAATTTAGCCAAAACATCTAAAGGTGGAAGATCACCTTGAAATTTTAAAACTTCCAAGAGTGGACATAATCCATTATCGAATGCAGCAACAGTTTCAGGTTTCCATTTCCAGAGAGTAATTTCTAAATGTTTTACATTTGAAAGAGTATTAAGTTGTTTGCATGGTAATATGAAACCATTCATACCAAGTTCTTCAATTGAATGTATTTGTATTAATAATTCCTCTGAAATTGGTTTTAATTGATTATAATAACGATTATCTCGAATGTTCCAACTCGTGTAGTTCGAAAAATGTATAGCTTTTAATTCTTTTTGATCTTTTAAAAAATTAATTAATAATAACCATCTGTCTCGTGTATTATAGCCATGGAAATGAATTACGATCTTTTTAATTTTTTTGCAATCACGAAATATATTACCAAGATAATAAGGTTTACCAACTTCTAAGTAACAAAGATTCGAAAGGTTTTTAAAAGAATTATTTTGTACTGTCATATTAGAAATGTTAAATAACGAAAACTGTCTAATTTTTGTACAATTCCTAAAAATAATATTAAAAATATGATTTGTTAAAGTTGATGAAATCGAACTTTCATCATATTTTGATATCCACGTTCTTTCATTTTCATCATAAATTTTCTTAAGATTTTTGTATTTCCAAGGCGGTACACGAGAACATTTGTCAATAAATCCATGAAATTCGGCGGATTTAAAAATTTCCATATAGTCCAAATAATCCCGAATTGATTTCCTATATTTATGATAAGTAACCTTATAGTATTTACATGAATTTAACTTTTCTTCCGTCCATTTATCAAAAGGAAACATTGAAATTATTGTTTTGAGTAATTTTTTTGAATTTGCTGCTCCATCACGATGAACAATTGAAAATGGATTCTCCCATAAATAAGGTATCAAAATTTTAAACCATGAACGATTGACTAGGATACAATTGAATAACGTGTCTTGGTCAAGATGTTCGAAAACATTTTGGAAACAATCGTAATTAAGTTTTGGAACCATTATGATTTTTTTTTTTAACAAAAAGCGAGGGTTGAAACGAGTATTTTAATGTTTTTTGCCCAATTTGATTGTCAGTTGATCAATGTAATTCTTTCCAAAAAATAACTCTTCCTTGGGGTATGTTTGTTGTTTTTCTTTTCTTCTTTTTTTTATTTTCGTATTGAAAGCCAATAAAAATTTAAGATTCCATTTTTTTTTAAAAAAAAAAAAAAAAAAAAAAAATTTAGTACTAATGGGGTAATTATTTCCCTTGTGTAAATGAAACAAAATTTGGTATTATTAAACTCCCTTAATACATACATTTATAGACAAAACCCGTTAATCACCATCTCTTAATTATCTCTTATCTCAATCATATCTAGATTATAAAACATTTACCTAACGAAATAACCACAATCACGTGATCTGTCGTTTAACAAGTTTTATTAAAATAAACAAGGAGGCTTCTAGAATTTTCACAGTTATTCATTTATCCGTTTATTTTTTTAATACGTCAACAATCCCAGCCTGATATCGCCAGATATAGACATTATCTAGAATTTTTAATTCTGCAGATAGATTAATTACATAAGACATCAAATTTATGTTACTCCTCGTCCTCTGTCTCTCCTTTTTTTTTGACATACAGATTTCGCGAATTTTGTTGATAATAAGACAAAGACGACTACTTCTACTTAAATTAACTATATCGTGGAACAGATTGGTTCGTCCCAACGAGATTTTAATCAAAAACTATAATAGATTATATGCATGGTCACATGGATCTTATCCACAAAGAGATTACGCAGTAAACCATTAACTTTGTTAGATTCTGTTATACATTTCTCAGTATCTCATAAATTTCATATTATATCAAATGTTAGTAAAGTTTAACAAGATTATATGTTAATTAAAATAAAAACTTATTTACAAATAAAAAAAAACAAAATAAATACGGTACATTATAATTCATTGCGAGAAATAAATTTTTTATAAAAAAAAAGAATATATATACATATGTTTTATTCGCCATCAAAAAATTAATTAGCACGATGAATCTTTTCATATTCGTTAAATAGATCAATCGTGTATTTTATGTTGTACTTATTTGCTGACTAAAATAATAAAAATTCAAAATTATTTTATTTCTTTAAATATTATAAATATTAATAAAATGTTTGAATATTGACCTTAATAATATCATCTTTAATTCCTTGTGGTAAAGAATCCAAATATTTCAAATCACCTTTAGTATTTGAAATTGAATCACTTCTATGATTATATTCAACAAGGAACGCAGGAAAAGCCACAACTAATATTATAAATAAAAAAAAATAATTAATAAAAATTATTTCAATAATAAGACCAAAGCAATTTACCAGTAAATAATTTACAGTACTTACAATCAGCAGGAAGATTTTGTAAAGTTTTAAAATCCACATCAAATAATCCAAAACTTATTTTATTACCCAAAAGATCTTTTCCAATATCTTTTAATTGATTAAGTTTATAAATATCTTGAAGTAAATTATTTATATTTTTGTCAACTTCCTTTATTTTAATTTGATTTTCAACATATTTATTTTGAGATTCCTTAAATTTTTTTTCGTTCCTCTTATTATAATCAAGATCCCTTTCAATATTACTTTCAACAATTTTTAATTTTTTCAACTGATTTTGTAAATTTTCTATTTCTTCATTATAAATTGATTTTCGATATTTTGAAATATATTTATCCCACTCTAAATAATATTCTTCATTCTTTAAACTTAAGAGGCTATTCCTTTTTTTATCAAAATTCGGTTCATATTTAACTTTGGGATTCCCAAATTTATTATCACTATAAATGAAATTAACAAAATATATTATTAATATTAAATAAATTTTATCATACGTTGTTGAATTACTTTTAACGATGGTAATTGTGATATACGGTATTAATTATTATTAAAAACATACCTAGTATTGTTCCCTTTTTTTACTCCTTCTAAAAAAAAGGAAATAAAGAATTTTGAGTAATAATCATATATATTTTTAATGCAAAAAGAAAAAATTATAAACGTGGGAAATTTTTTTATTAAATTTACAAGTATTTTACCATAAAAATCAACGCAAATAAAATCATCCTCTTCAAAAGTCTCAATTATAGTCCATTCGGTTTTTTTGTTATCACTATATAAGAAAATTAACAAAATTTCCTTAGATAAAAAAAAAAAATGTAAAATTATGTATTTACCTCATTTTTAAAGAAAAAGTAATTGTCGTGAGAATATGAAATAGAGATGACATAATTTGATTACATATTTAAAAATCATGTGTTGAAAGTCATTTGATCAGAATGTAGATCCGCGGAGTATAGTGCCAGAAATAGTGCGCACCTTGATTATTGAAAACTCCATTATATTGGCCGATTGGAAATGACGTGATATTTTAATAGAGTTTGTTAGTTGTGTGTGACATTTGCCAATCGGCAATATATATAAAGATTAGCCATTTAGCCCAAAAATATACGCAATCCCGAAAAAATCTTAAATTGTACGCAAATCATAACTGCTCCGTCTAACTCGTGTACCTTACCCATGTATATATATTTCTGGGTAGTTATGCTTAATGATTAAACTTATGATAGTACACATTGTAAATATATACACATTTACATTCACATTTTCTTTACCCTTCTCCTTTCTACCTTTACCTTCGTCCTTTCCTCCTCTCGCTCTTGCTCTTCCTTTTCTTCCTTTCTCCTCTCGCATTCCCTCCCTCCATTCACTCATTCTTTCATTCTTCCCTAATCGCACCTCAGCGTTGGTGATCAGCTGACAACATTTTTTTAAAGACTTTGGCAAAAACAGTAACGATACCTTATAAGAAGTATTCAAATTTTTAGAAACAACTGTATCATTTACAACGTGAGCCAATGCTAAATATATTTTAATGTATTTATTCACCATTTTACCGTGTTAAACTGCTTGGAATACCTCTTTTTGTGCTTGTGAGAAAATCTTAAAATTGAACATTATTAAATTTAATATAATACTGGTACAGCTAGCCCTCGATATAACGAACTCGCTTTATAAAGAATTTTTCCCTACACGTGACATTTAACCAATCAAGTACGCAAAATATTTCGGAATTTGCGCCCATATCCGATTTAATTGATTGTTGAAATACCATTGGATTCAACATTCCAATTGTAAGCTTGATCCACTAATGTATTCCCCCTGGGATATAATTAATCCCTATTTCCTTAGCCTATTCTTTCCAAAGAGGGGAAAACACCTTTAAGGATCCAAATTGTTAAATTGAATGACATGAAGGTAACGAATAACAACTCACTGTAAGAAACTTATATTGAGGGCTGACTGTATACCAAGGTCACGGTTTAGACTTTAGAGTCAAAACTTCGGTATATATAAAATTTGTATAACGCATTAGTTTTTTAAGGTCTTGTGAACGAAGACTACCAGATCTACATATATTAATTATATTATGGTCTAATAATCTCTTTACTGGTCCCTGTAATTCAATATTCTATTTTTTATTAAACCAACTAACTTACTATTTGGATCTTCGTAATTTTATTAGGATATTTAGGTAAGGTAAATATTAGCTTCCTTAGAAAGATAACCCCGTTACAATCAATAAACAATTATTGTAAATTCGTTAATGTAACGTCTTTTTTTAATAGTGATAATTATTAGAAGATTGAAAATGTCAATTTCAACTAACTGAACCTTTGTAGGAAATACTTTATACTGTAATCAATTGATATATCTTTTATTATTTTTATATTAATGACTTTTAAATATTCATATAATTTTTAAACCATTTTAGATTTTCTTGATATTTAAAGTTTAAAAACATACTTATAACTTATTATTATCATGTAGTACAATATCGCGTACGTCCGTACCTTCTCAAAATATTTATTGTTAAATAATTTATTCCGCATATTTTAGTGTAATTCAAATTGTTGAATCAATCAAGTATAATCCAATGCGTAAGATGTACAAACAATTGGCGTAGCTCTCGCGAATCTAAATCGTTTAAATTGCGAAATATGACTATTTGGACGATTTCGAAAGGAAGAAAGAATTTTAAAATATATCACAAAGAAAACATCCTAATGACATTAGCCGTATGCCAAACAGTCATGTGACTTAATTTCAAAATTTTGTTGATCGAAAGTCCTTAGATAACAATATATCGATATAATTGTATATAGCGAAAATCCTCATCATTATTTCGTGATCGTCAAAAATGAAGTTATATCAAAACTTAATGATTTTCTCTTGTTTATTTGGTGTAAACATAAAGCGTTAAAAGCATAACGTAATTCGCATTGTTTATGTATATTGTAAGATTTTCTACTTCAAAAAATGCTCTTATTCATGTTTTAAATAAAAAACCATTAAATATTTTGATTTTAGCCATATTTATATGGGTGTACGTGCACATGATAGTGTTAACGTAAACTCCGGCCAGTTCGTACGTTAATAATCGTACACTCCGCTATATATTAAGGAACTCATATTAACTTTTGAACTCATGTTAAAAAATTTGATTTCCCTCTTCTAAAATTTCATTTATTTTATCATAATTACATAATTGGAGTTCTTAATTTCTTGATTTTTTTTTAACATATTTCAGAAAAAAAAATTGAAAAAAGGAAAAAGAATTCATAAAAACGATACGAAATAAAATTTGCCCTACCGAAACGAAAAAAAAAAATTACTTCTTCGAAAAAAAATAACTTTGAAAAAAAAAATAAAGTTCAATTCTTTCTTAACGGAATTATTAAATCTTATTAAATCGACCAAATCAAGCATATATAAATAATTTTTACGGGAAAGTAAATATAAATCTTGAGATTTATCTATTAATTCTTAAAACCATAAAATATAACAAATTAAAAAATAAGTTAATATAACGTCATAATCAAAAGGAAATATATACGGTATTGTGAATATTATTCATATTTCATAATCGCAAGATTTTTTCAGTTGTTCTACATTTAAATTATCTTGCCACTCATTAAGAACGTGTAACAATTTTGTTCCACTTATAGCTTCGGTTTCCATAACAGGGATTGAGTTTTTGTGTTGATGGTGGTGTAATTGATTCATACTTTTTGAATTGTGTTTATAATTGCTAACACTTATTTCTAATCTCATCATAGATGAACCACTATGTTTTTTTGTTCCAGATGAGAATAATGGCTTGATAATTTTGATAATTTTCCCACAATGATGACCATGATGTTGTTGCTCTTCATCATGATGTTGCTCTTCATCGTGGTGTTGCTCTTCATCATCATATAATTCAAATTTAAGTATCGGATCAAAATTTTTCATCGAGGACATTTTAAACGTTGATTGATCAAGTCGTAACGATGTGGACTCACACTTAATATTTTCATAACATTTCATCCAGTCAAAGATCGAATTTCTTGTTCCAGTGACTACGAATTTTGGTCGGGAATGTGTAAGTTTGATCTTATCAAGTTTATGAGGTGTAAATGGTTTAACCGTTTCAATATTAATACCTAAAAAAATTAAGAGATTATTATTTTTTTTTTGTCTTACGAAAAGAATCGTTATATAATTACAGTACATACTTGTATACCCGTATGTGACCATCTTTACAAGTGCTTATTATTTAATTTGAAGATTAGCGATTCGTAAAAAAAAAAAATGGAAAGATGATAAGGAAATTTGATTTAAACTTGCCCTTTAAAAATGGAATCCATGATATGCATCTTCAGTAACAAAATGAAAAAATTTTAGCCAACCGATTCTACACGTTTAAATCTAACTAGTAACAGGAAAAGCGACTACCAATTAGGTTAAATAAAGACCGCGTGATAACATCTGAATATTTTCTCGTAAGCAAACACGCATACCATTTCATTGGTACAAATATTTTTCCAGAAAAACTCGTATGTTATGAGATTTTTGCAGAAAATTACTATAAAAAGTTTCTTTTAATGATCGAAATGCAGAATCTAAGAAATTCTTGGGTTCGATTTTAAAAATTCCTTTTTTATTAGTAAATATTTTATTAATATTAAGTTAAAATAATTACTTTGCTACTGAATATGAAATCTCTTTCAAAAATAATGACAAATTTACGAATTGCAAAAAACTTTCCTAAACATATTCAATATATGTTCAAAATTTCATGCTTAATCAAAGGTAAAAATATTCCAAAATAATATTTTGGCCTTTTTTTTTTTTTAATAAATCTTGTGTAAATATTTTTTTTTTATTCCAATTTGACAGGTATCAAAAAGTATAATTAATTAATAATTTTTGGATAATCTCAAACAAATATGTAAATCATAAATGAAATTTCATGTGCAAAATCGATTCGATTTCGTAAAATGGAAAAAAAAATTTGTAATTGACGCATCATTGACAGTTTCACGAGTAAGTATTTAGGTTTTAAGTTTTTTTATGGATATTAAATCCGTGTTCCGTCTATTCCCGTCAATTTTCTACACGTGTTTATTATGTAATTTACCTGACGCAATGTTAAATAATCAGTTTGAGACTAATAACTGTGCTACTTTGACTTACTGACTTACTAATCAAATAAAATTATTCCTAATTTACAAATTAAACTAACAAATTAATTTAATACCCATGTAATTTTAGTCGGTTATAAAATATTTGTTAATGTTCTATCTCAATACAATGTAGAAATATAATGAAATAAATTTCTAAACATTTTTAGTCTTAATTTTCTTTGGTTCACATAATCTCGTATAAATTTGGTACGCCCTGAGCATTATTATAAAAGACTAATTGTTTGATCAAGATTTTCTTTGTTAATCTAGTGTATTATTAAATCGAAGTCGATCAAATAACGCAAAAAATTAAAAATTTTACCCCTTTACTTCCTCATCTCCCGCATTGTTTGGGTGATGCGTTGAACTAATAATTTTGTGCCGATCTCTTGTTACCTATTTATGTATTGCTCGGGAACCTAGTCAGGCTAGTCTTTAATTAATTTTTTTTCGTATTTGATAAAAAGAAAATCATGTGCGCTTCTGTTGATCATTTTATCTAATTGTGGCAGCATTTAGACTCTTCGGATCAGAGTCTACACCCCAAAGTTTCATATATATGAAACTAAATTTAGAAATTCAACAAATAATGATGAAACTTCTCAATTTAATAAAAGAGTAGATTTATCATAAAGTTGAGTATCTAAGTATTAAACAAAATGGGATTTGATATTAATTTAAAACCAACAGGTTAGTATTCGTTTTAACATTTGTTATAGAACATTTAATACAAGAATCATCATGGATTTTCATACGAATTATTCTGGATAGCCGGCTGTTTTTTCACTTATAACCATAATTTTCTCCAGAAGGACGAAGTCTAGCAAATAAAATCTTCAAAATCGTTACGACGATAGAACCAGCCATCTTCACAATTATCCGTTGCAAAAAAGATTACTTATGGCTTTCAAGATATTGCCATAAATAGTGATCCTGAAAGAAATTCAAGTAAATGATAAAATAAGTTGGATCTATGCCTTTCAACATTTGCACTTTTCATCGAATTCAAAAGGGAATGTTATATGGATAGAAGGAATATTCATAGCAGTGTCGCATTACTCGCATATATTAAGTTGGTTATATGCTTGCGCATGTTTTGCAAAGATATTATCATCTCGTATACTTAAATCTTACGGTCCCGGAATTATGATGATTTATTCTATAGTCGTCTGCTATGTCTATTGCCGCTATTTATAATAATAAGTCTGAAATTTTCACTGAATTATTATGTAAAATATCAGCAATTATTTTCATTATTGGGAAATTTTGCATATATTCAATTTAACTTTGAGAATATTATATCATACCAATATCTTCCTAGTGTAAAATCACATGAATCCATTATTTTTCGTATATAACATTTTTTCATGTATTGTTTTATCGTTTATAGATTTTGTCAAGCAATAAAGAATATATTAGCTATTTTTTTATTATCAATGTCTTAAATTTTATCGCCGTTTTCAAAATGCTGTACGCAGTTAAGTTTGAATAAAAGAAAAAGAAACCCGATAACTGCGAATTAAAACTGGACAAATATTGATATTCGAATATACAATCACACACCATTTTGAAAATGGCGATAAATTAACATTACTGAAACAAAAAAGTAATTTTAAAGCAATGTTCTTTGAATATCATGCGATGAAATAAAAATTTCCTAGTTAATTTACTATTAATTGTCACACATTGGGTAAAATTCTAGAATTCGAATGTCCGATTTCTTTATACGTTGATTGGTGTAAAGTGTAAACGACTGTCACTTGTATATCAATAAGATTAAGCATATCGTCAAATGATCGATATTTAAAAACATGTTTCAATTATGGCAAATCATAAATTATGTAACCCGATGAAATGTGATATTTTATGATTATATACTGATTTGTTAATTTGATTAAAATTTTAAAATTACGAATAATAAAAAGTATTATCATAAGCATAATCTGCATCATAATGATTATATCATCACTTTCAGCTGTCTTTTTTTGTCTTAAAGCTTCCTTAATAAAGAATTTAGCAAATATGATATTACTTTAATGGCTAGTAAATATATAATGCCATTTCAACAATCTGAAATTTTATAATTTACTGGAATGACTCTGCCAATAATATGATAACTTTAAGAATAAAAAGTTATTATGCCACAATTTTAATATTACAGGTCCTATTTTTATTATTAATATAATCTCATATATGTTGAATCTGCAGGATGGGTGTAAACTGCAAAACCTCTATAATAGAAACTTAAAAAAAAAACCTAAATAAGAATTAATTTTTATAAAAGTTTTTAATCATGATACAAATATCAGCCAATCATAAATCAAGATTATTATGAAAAAAATAAAAAATTTTTACAGTAAAAATTATATTTAACTAAACTTTATTAATAAAAATGTTAACAGAAAGTCAAATACCTAATAATGTTAAAAATAAATATATTCAATATACAGTACTTCTTAAAAATATTATAATAAAAATTAATACATAATAAAGGATTTACATTTACACTTTTTTATTACTACTTAAATAACAAACCAAAAATACATCAGTATTTTAGTAAAAATGATAATTTAATTATTTAAATAACTTTCAAAGTAATTAATGTTAAAATAACTTTCAAATTATTAGCACTTATATTTATTTAACATGATATCTATTTCTATAAATAACTATAAAGCTTTTTTTCATTTTTAAATAATTTAAATAAAATAAATATATAGTTTAATAATAATAATAAATTAAAAAAGTCTGCTAATAAGTAATTTATTTTACAATTAATCTTATTAAAATTTTACTATAATTTTATTATATAATATATATAATTTCAGTAAAGTTTTGGTAGTTTTAGCATTTAAAATTTTATTAAATTTTACTTTTTTCTAAAGTTTACTTATTTTTAATAAAACTTTAATAATATAGTTTCAGCAAAATTTTGCTATTTCAGTATTTTACTAACTTGCTAAAATCTTTTAGTTTCTTATTTAAATATTATATATTTAGCAAATTTTTTATGTAGTTAAAAAATAGCAATAAATTGTATAAATTAATTATTTATTAATATATTGTATTTTATTAATATATTCTTTAATTTTTATTAATACATTTTTTTATGTATATATTCTAATTACAGTCAAACCTTGATATAGCAAACCCTTTGATATAGTGAATTTTTCAGATAACTATAATAAATTTCCCTCACTATAACGAATTAACCAATCAAATCTCTTAAAATCTTTACTATAACCTTATAGCGAAGTTAAAGTCTGGACCCTAGGGTTCATTATAACAAAGGTTAACTGTAATTATTTCTAACCAATTATTTCAAATTAAATATTATATATATTAGTAATAATTTTATTGATAATTATAGAATTTTTAAAATTATTTTTAAATATGAATATTAATAATAAATAAATAGCCAATTTAATAAAGTTTAATTTATAAATATAATTATACATAAAAATAATTATATATATAATAACAAATATATAACTTTTAATAATCTAAAACTCTTATCATTTAGTCTAATTATTTATAAAAATTTTGCAATATTTTTATAATTAAATTTTCTTTTTTAAATATAATATTATATATTTATTTTATTACAAATATTATTATAATTATTTACAAAAATAAAAAAAAGAATTAGAAATAATTACTTTATAGTTCTAATTCAAAATTATTTATCCTAATTTTTAACTTTAAATTTATTTTTTTTATTTTAACCTTAAAATTTAAGCTACTAAAAACTAATACTATTCTAAAAATAACATATTAATCTAAATTAACTAACTATTTTTACTTTAATTCTAATTACTTTAAAATTAATACCACTCTAAAATCAATATTTATAATCTAAACCAATTCTTTTTATTTTAATTTTAAGCTGTTTAAACTAATAAATTAATATCACAAGATAATGAAAAAAAAAAGTAAAATATTTATAATCAACTAACATTAAATTTAAATTATTTATAATAATTTTAATTAATTATTATCTAAATATTTCTAAAATTCTTTTATTGAATTAATACTAGTAAATAAAAACTATTATATTTATCTATTTACAAAAAAATTCCTATTTACAATTTTATATGATATTTTTCAAAAAG